AAAAGATGAGAGGGGCCTGAGGAGGAAGTCGCTGGGAAGGATAATAGACGGTTGCGGATGAGACAGTCAAGCCTAGTTTGAATGGATTCTGTTGAAGCTCTGTCAGCGTTGAAGATGCGAGCATTGCGTTCACGCCAAATTAGATACGTCGTCGCTTGCAGGATGATTTTGATGATGACGGAGGCCTGTGATGACGCCTGAGATCTCGGCTGTAGAATCTAATTCGCTGCAGCCTGTAGCGTCATGGGTGGAGCCAACCAAATTCTTGAAGCAAAAGGAAAACAAATCGCAGCAGAGAAGGGACATTCAAAGAACAAATGTTCACGGCTTTCTATTCCTGAGTTGGAAATGACACAAGTAGATGGAACATTTAGTCCCCACCTTCTTAGTCTATCTCTAGTAGGTAACCAGGCCTTAATAGCCAGCCAAGAAGTGAAAGCATGTCGTGGAACAGCTTCTCTGCTCTAAACAACTTTACACCAAGGAACTCGAGGAGAATGGTCACGCATTTGTTCCCAGGTATCCTTAGAGGAGAAAGTTGGAGAGAACGTACCAGATGGCTTACGCCAAAGGAAGACATCATAACCCCTTGACTCCTCAGGAGGAGCAATTGTTGTGAGAGTGAGCAAGAAAGTCTGCGTTCTCTCAGACTTTGCTCCCGGCATTCTCCAGCCGTCATTCCGAGTGGCCTCAATCACACGGGCATCTTTTCTGACACGTAGCTGTCTTGGACCAATTTCACCAATGTAATCAATGAGAGGCCCCAATGCAGTCCATGAGTCATACCAAAAGGAAGCATGCTTCTCATCGCCCAACTCGCACCGGAGAAAGTTTTGCAGAACCAATTTGAGAGTGAGCATATTTCTAATGGCTCGAGAGAATCGAGGGGAGTCCTGTGTGACCCAGAAGCTCTTCCTCTGAAAAATATTTCCTTTTACCCAAGCAACCCACAAAGACCATGCATTAGAGAACAAGTTCCAAATCAGTTTAAGTTGGAATACGACAGCAAAGTCCTCCAGCAGCCTTATTCCAAGCCCTCCTTCCTGCTTTGGCTTACAAACCTCTTTCCAAGCCACTCTAGCACCAACGGCGGTTGTGGTTCTGTTTTTCCAAAGAAATGCAGCACATAGAGAGTATATCTTCTCATAGAATCGTTTCGAAAGGACAAATACTGCACTCCAGAAATTCACCATCCCATAGATGACAGAAGAAATTAGAGTGATTTTACCAGCAAAAGACAGGAGCTTAACTGTCCATGAATGAAGCTTTGATGTAACCCGCTCAATAAATGGTTGGAGAGTGGCAAAAGAGATTCTAGCAGGGTTAAGCGAAAGGCCCGAATACCTGGTGGGGAAAGAACCAAGCTTGATACCAGACAAAGAGCTCAAAACTGCTTGTTCAATTTCCATGTAACCGCCAAAGAAAATTTTTGATTTCGATGCATTCATGTCAAGACCGCTCATAAGCTTGAAGGAAGACATTACCTCAGCTGTACTAGTTAAGGAGTGACGAGCTCCATCTGAAAATACCAACAAATCATTAGCAAATAGTAGGTGAGTGAGAGGCGGAGCCATACAAAGATGATGCAGTCTGATTATATTCTGGTCAACC